ATAAATTACGTGTGCAGGTAGACGTGATTTTCAAAATTGCATTTTTTGATGCAAAAGCATTCGCGCTATATGATACACTTTATATGTTTTGGACCATGCTATAGTTTAGTCGGGAGGTTATTTTAGTTGAAAATTTAGCAGAAATATGATAGAAATATTATAGAGACACGAGTAAATGACCAAGTTGACCAAGAACGAAATGACATCCCATCATAATTGCACTGGGGTCGCCGTAGGATATTGTAGACAGTAAAGATGCTTGACGAAATTATTTTCGAATTGACGAAATGTATCGTCAATTTACATACCTGACGAAACCATTGACGATTGACGAAATTGTTGACGATTGACGAAACTCCTGACGATTGACGAAATTCTTGACGAAATCTCTGATGGTTTAGGAAACCTCTGTCGAAGCCTTGACAAACCGACTTAGTAACAGAACAAGATGATCTCTGGATATGATAAACTTAAAGTATTGTTATTTCATTATAAATTTTTATAAGTAATACCGTATTTGCACGTAATGCGAAATTATAATCGGTGCTCAATTTATGATTATGTGATGGTGATCGTATGAAATTCAATGAACTTACATACGCCCGACCATCAAAATTTATTGCATAAAATAAGCAATTTGAAAAGTTTCGTTAATAGACGGAACGGGTTTTCTAATGTTAGGTAAAGTTTTCTTAGTAACCGAGAAAACTTCGCCTAAAATCTTAAAATTTTAATGGTTGATAACAGATTGTTTCTAAGCCTCGAGAGAAGTTTTCTTAATAGCCACCTGACCAAATTCAATACGAATTTTTTTTTTAATTTCAATTCTGCGCACTCGCAGAATTGAAATAAAAAAACCTTTGAATTTGGTCAGGTAGTCGTCGAAAAAACTTTGCTCAAAATTTTTACCGATAGACAGAACAGATTTTGGACAGAACAGATTTTGTCTTAGTAAAATTTCTAATAAATAAAATAAAATAGAAATTAAATTCGGTTAAGTTGTTATTCATAAAAATATGACCCGTTTATTAACGAAACTTCAAAGATTGTTTACATTTATGTAATCAATTTTGATTGGTCGAGATACGTAAGTTCATTGAATTTCGTATGATCAACATCACGTGCACATAACCCGCATTTTCTATTGGCTTATAGATTTCGTCATAAGTTTCAATTCGTCATTTCAAAATTGGCTTGACGAAATGTATCGTCAATCGTCAATGACGAAAGTTTCGTCATCCGTCAGGCATCTTTAGTAGACAGTGGGGCTATTCCCCACCTGTCGAAGCAAGCCGTCTGTAAATGAAAATATGTAAGCCAAAAGAAATGATAGAATCACGTGCTTTCATCTTTGAGTGGGTGGGTAGTGTAATTATTATTCGGGAGAGTTAGATTGAACAGGCCGATTTATCTCTAATATTATGGGAAGGTCTAAACTTTTGCGACTGAGAGATAAGTTTTCAATTTTTACTTAATAAAAGTCTCTTCGGCTCTACACTAGCTTACTCCTTTTATTATTATAGGTAAAGTCGAAGGGAATCTCTGTCTTTATTGAACTCAAAGCCGTGCTTTTATAAATTAGGTCAACTATACCCACGTTAACGTGCTACACGTTATCATGTTAGAAATTACTAACCATGTTGACGTATTATCTCGAACTTTCGAAATTAGTTAGCCTTTATCCCTCAGTGCATGTCAGCGTGCACACATTAACGTAATACACGTTGACGTATTATCTCGAACTTTCGAAATTAATAATAGCGTGCTACACGTTAACATGGTATGTAATAACATAGACAAAAGGGACTATCATACGCTAAATACAAGTTTCCACCTCAATATTACCAACATTTAATGACTTATACAAAAATGAAAATAAAGCTATTTATACTGAATAAAGAAAGAAAAATCTATATACAAATTCGGGGGCAAAACTACCGTATTCTATCAAAAATAAGCACCCACATTGATTATAGTAGCGGGTGCTTATTCATGATAGGATCATCGCTATCTAAAATTTCATCTCACATGATGTTTCACCAATCAAACTACAGTAATAAATCTGCGCCAAAACTACAGTTTCTGATCAAATTCGAATCAAATAAGTTGTAATTATGATGGCACATATGGGGATGCTTATTTATGATTGACAATTTTATTTATATGGGGTGCTTATTTATGATGGGTGCTTATTTTTGATAGAATACGGTAATATGTAGGGAAATTCAATCTCTAATGTCACAAATTTCGAATTTGTGACAGTAGATCACGCGAATTTTCTGTTCATGAGCTAGCAGAAATGGCTTCGTCGTATCTGATTTTATATTATAATTCCATTACACCCCTCATTACTTGTTCTCTATTCCCTGCATATACTATTCGGTGTTTAAAATTGGCTTGCACAAGATGTACATGTGCACGAGCTTATTTTAATGTGCAGTATTTTGTAAAAAATTTATGCGACTGTGCAAGTAAAATTTAAAAAAAAAAAAATTTCTCAAAATTTATGATGTACATTAAACCTATATTTTGCAAGAAATTTTTTTTCAGTTGCAAGTAAATTAATTTTTTTTTACTTGCAATTGAGCAAGTAATTTTTTGTTCTGAATTTTAAACTCTGATACCATTGCCGTATTAACTTTGTTTTTTGTCTTTGATCTTCCTACTCCTTGTCCCTTTTTTTACCGCCATCTACATGCTTTGGTCTTGCCTGCGATGGTGTTATGGGCGGAGTGTCATGTGGCTGCTCCTCTCACTAGCATGAAATTTAAGTTAATAATGCCAATCAAAAACGTAATTATGACGCATAAAACCGTAACTATGGTAAACAAAACATAGCATTGGTATCACTTTGACATATAATAAATGCCATCCACTACGCTCCGGACAATGATACTTTATTTTTTCTGTGAATATTTAGCATAATTTCGTCTTTAACGCCTTCAAAATGATAGAATTACCGAAAGAATACCTTTATTAATATTAAATACTCTAGAAATTATCCCAGACACTTACTTTCATGTCTTGTAAACCGTCAATGGTGGAGAATTATTGTTCCAATATTATGGAGCGAATCATTAAAATACCGCTGCGACCGAAACATATAAGCATATACCTTTTATCATTAAATGCTGAGGAAAAGGTACTGTTAGTTCTGTTAAATATATCCCCTCCAATCATCACAACCAATTAGAATAAAAATTTTATTTAAAAAAAATTCTAATTAATTTTTTCAAAATATTTTAGCGTACAAATTTGTACGTTAAACTGGACGGTTTAAGAGATAAAAGGACTGCAAACACCTAAATGTTTAGTAATTTTTTGAACTAATAAGGTTCTTCAACCAGAGATATGTCCATATAGTCTTATAATGTTTATACGTATTAGTCATTCAATCTTAAATTACGGATACGTATACATATATCAATTGATTAATTCTGTAAATTATTCGGCTAGTTTTTTGTCAGATGTTTCAGGATTTATGTAAATAGTTATAAGAATAATAAAAAAAAAAAAAAAGAAGAAAATTAACACTTTGTAAATAAGAAACAATTGTAATCAAATTCAGATAATAGTGTACTGTAACAACCAATCAGAAGATAACCAATTTAGACTGGCGAATTAAATTCAAGCATGTGTCTTTGTTCGTACAAAAAATTTTTTACAATACTGTACCTCGTAAATTTGAGATTTCGGTGGCAATATTGTAACACGAGTCTTTCACAAAATTTATATTACGCCGCAATGATATTACACAGCTTGAATTATTTTTTTGCATTTGAATCACTCGGGCTTGTAACTAAATTTGAACGAATAGCAATAGATAGATGGCTCAGTCAAAATCGGCGGCGTATGATTATCTTATAAAGCTTTTATTAATTGGAGATTCAGGTTAGTATATTTATAATTTTTTTACTTGTTTACGGCATTAATGTAAGTGGCGCTATCGGAAATTGAATCCCGTAAGATTAAAACTTTAATCGCATTAAACATTATTTACAAGTCTTCATGATTTTTTTGCACTGCTCGTAATCAAACGATTTACTTTGAGTATTTTTATAAATTGATTTGTAGATGTTGGCAAATCAGAATTATTGCTTCGTTTCTCAGATGACTCTTTTACGCCCGCCTTTGTCACTACCATTGGAATCGACTTTAAAATTAGGACAATTAAACTAGATGGAAAAAAAATCAAGCTTCAGATATGGGATACCGCAGGCCAGGAACGTTTTCGCACTATAACAACAGGTAAATTTTTAGCACATTTAATGATTTTTGCTAAACGATCTTTATAATTGTTTCTCTTGTACTAATGTTTTCACACGTTTATAAATAATCTAAAAGCATATTATCGTGGTGCAATGGGTATTCTGTTAATATATGATGTTACCAACGAAAGGTCTTTCAATAGTATCCTTTTTCTTTAATGCTATACTTTAAATTTTTTTTTATTTTATATATACATGTTTCATTATTATTTTTGATTATCATTATTATTATTTCTTGATTATTATCATTATTTCATGATTAATTAGACATAAGAAACTGGTTTTCAAATATAGATCAGCATGCCAGTGAAGGTGTCAATAAGATTCTTATTGGGAATAATTGTCATGAAATTGAAAAAAGGGTAAATATTTTGTAATTGAAAGAGATATTTCAAAAAATTCGACTTATGATCGATTATATTATCTTTAGGTAATTACTAAAGAACAGGGTCAGGCACTTGCGGATGAATTTAAAATCAAGTTTCTAGAAACAAGTGCCAAGGCTAACATCAACGTTGAAGAGGCATTCTTTACTTTGACCAGGTTTGCCAGTTATATTACAAATTAATTGCTGTATGTCATTAATCACGTATTTTTAACTTTACATTCAATCTTAGGGATATTAAAAAGAGGTTAATAGATTCGCACACATATGAGGTAAATATATTATATTTAAATGAAAAATTTTTTATAAAACCTGACTAAATCTAAATTTTTATTATAATATACGAGATGGTAAAAGCCCAATATCTAGACAAAGCAAATATAGATACCAAACCAACTTTTGAAAGAAGTACCGACAACAAAGAACCATTTTTTACTTTTGTTAGGTTTGTAAATAAACTTTCAATATTTCAAGTATAAAGTTTTGGTAAACCATTATTATTCATTATGTTTATCATAGGGATGTTAAGAGAAAGCTTACTGGCGCGTATCAATTTTATGTATCATCCAAGAAAAGTGCTAATGAAATATACTATGATGGCGTTCGTTACGAGAAGGGAATTAAATTTAGAAAGAATGAATATAGAGCATATCTTTGTTATAAAGAATCATCTAGGATGGGTTATGCTGATGGAACATATAATCTTGGACGCTGTTATTTAAATGGGATTGGAGTAAAAAAGGATAAAATTAAAGCATTTGATTGTTATAAAAATTCAGCCGAAATGGGTCACGTTATAGGGACATTTAGCCTTGGCTATTGTTATCAAAATGAAATTGGAGTTAAAAAAGATGACCATAAAGCTTTCATTTATTATGAAAAATCTGCTAAAATGGGAAGCGCTGATGGAACATATAGTCTCGGTGATTGTTATCTGAATGAAATTGGTGTCCAAAAGGATGAACACAAAGCATTTACTTATTATCAAAAATCTGCAGAGATGAAAAATACTAATGGAATGTCTCAAGTTGGGCATTGTTATTTGAATGGAATTGGAGTTGAAAAAGATGAGCACAAAGCATTCACTTATTATCAAAAATCAGCTGACATGGGCAATTCAAAAGGAATATATAATTTAGGTGTTTGTTACAATAACGGAATTGGAATTGAGAAAGATGATCATAAGGCATTTATTTATTACCAAAAATCGGCTGATATGGGAAATGCTGATGGAATGTATCAAGTTGGTCAATGTTATCTAGACGGAATTGGAGTCAATAAGGATGAATATAGAGCATTTACTTATTATCAAAAATCTGCTAATTTGGGTAATGTTAATGGGATGTTTACACTAGGTTATTGTTTTCGAAATGGGATTGGTGTTGAAAAGGATGAGTCTAAGGCCGATTATTGGTATCAAATGTAAGTAATTTACGATTGATTGATTGGTTGATTGATTGATTACTGATAATAGTGATTAAAAACAATTTAGGGGAGATGCTCTGTTATCAAGTAGGTTTATTTATATATATATTTATTTACATAAATGGATCAGGTAATCTAACCAAAATTCTTAGGCATAAATAAAAGGATATATGGAAATTCCAATATTGATGACAATTTAAAAAGGATATTAACTGAAAATAATTATTCATTGTTATGGATTCCTTACGATGAGTTTAGTAATATTAAAAAAATAGGACAAGGCGCATTTGCAACAGTATTTTATGCTAAATGGCAAGATCAAAATAATGCAACAAGAGAAGTTGCTCTTAAATTACTTCATGGGTCAAAAAGTCGTCATGAAGAATTTGCAAAAGAGGTGATTTTTTAAATTTTAAGGATTTATTTTATATAAATTGTCTAAATATTTTTTTTTCTTTGGAATGATAAGCTCAAGGCATTTTGTGATATAAGCAATGAAAATCCCACATTCTTAAAATGTTACGGAATATCAAAAGATTATATCTCTGAAGATTATATTCTTGTTATGGAATATTCCTCGAAAGGTTCTTTGCGTCAAAATATACACGTTATATCACAAATGAAATGGAAAGACAAATTAAGTATATTACTTTATATTGCATTTGATCTTCAAGCGATTCACTCCCAGGGTCTTATTCATCGGGATTTACACAGTGGCAATATATTACAAAATAGCATAAATAGTGCATCTATTGCAGATTTAGGACTTTCAATATTGACTAATACAGCTTTAAAGATAGAGTCAGATAGCGTTTATGGAGTTTTACCATACATTGCACCAGAAGTTTTTATTGGAGAGCCGTATACTAAAGCTTCGGATATTTATTCATTTGGCATAATTATGTGGGAAATTTCAACAGGGAAACTTCCTTTTTATGATCGAAGAGAACATGATTCTCGTCTTGTACAAGACATATGCGATGGTCTTCGTCCAAGTTTTGCAAAAGAAATACCCCAACTTTATGTTAATTTGGCAAGCCAATGCATGAATGCAACTCCTTCTGAACGTCCTTCTGCAAATAGAATTCAAAAACTTTTAGACGATTGGATAAAAGAGGAACTTTATATAAATATGTTTAGAGAAGCTGATGAAGTTGAATCTAAATCTTTAGAATATGCCCATTAAATACAATAATACATACCAACTAATAAAACAACTTAAACGTTCAAATTCGGATCAATAAGCTCCATTATTTCACAGAAAATGTAATTATGAATTATTCAATCCAGATCTTATAGACTTATAGATGCATAATTACACTACTTTAGTATCTTATTTTAATAAGTTTTACTCAATAGATTAGTAATGCAGATTACAAAGACAAATCGCTCGAATAATATAAAAAAGTCACATGTTTTCACTGTTATCATTATATTAATTATTCATAAGGGCTGATCGGACTCATTAAGCGTGATATAAAAATGTGATATATTAAAGGGTAGTGCAGATCTGATGATCATACGTATACCTTTTTCTTGTTGTTTATGTTCTAAATCCTATATGTCAAGAAAGTCTTTGTTAGCACACGAAACAACAAAACACCCGCACAACCAAATAGTTCCTCATAGCTCTGGTAGTGTTGTTAGGCAAAACTTAGAGGTTTTGCCACTGGCAAAAGTCGAAACTAGTTTTGACTTTTGCCAAAAAAAAA